TTAAATCGGTTCGCAAATCGCACCAAACGATTCATTCACGAATTGGAATGATCCGATTGCAGCTGTTCTCGAGTCGACAACTCACTGATTCAAATGAACCGTTTAGTGCGAGTCTCCAGTGAACTGAATTCACAAGTAAGAACCGCGCGCGCTGTTAAAAGTGTTAAAAGTAAGTTACTAATGTCGAATTTTAGGATTAATTATTGTAACTGAAAATCATAAAGCTGTCAGAGCTGTCAGTTGTTTGTGAATTAATCTGCTGTAAAGGGTGATCTGTTTAAGCCCACTAAAATGCTTGAATGCCGACACATTAACATCAGAGTCAAAAAACATTAAAATAACACAGATTAAATAAAATAACTCATGCACGCTCATCTTCCCCGCTGCTGTAACGTTAGCAGTTTTACTAAAATGCTATGCATTTAGTCATAACCATACTGAAAATAAGTAAATATTGTTAGCTGATGCTAACTGTCTAGCTAACAAGCTTGCTGGTGCTAAATTGAGGTAATTTTATAAAGTCCAAATATTTGTATTCAACCACCTAGATAGATTAACCTGATAAATACAGTAATTATCAAAGTGGGAAGTGATGCCCTCTGGGGGCATTTGGCCAGGGGTGTTTTTACACCAGACACGGTTTGAGAAGAAAAAAATCATTATGAAAATATAATTATATTTTCCTTAAAATGTTCTTCCTAACTTCAGGCCTTATTCTCATGTCATATGTAACTGTGACGTTCTGCTAAACAACAAGCTTTAAACACTTTTTTTCCTTACTGGTGAAAATCAGATGGTCAAATCTGTTTTCTCTCAGGTACTTCGCAGTGTAAGCTTCACAGTGAACATTACTACATCACTCTTGTCAACGTAGTCCATATCAACAACAACAAAAAAAATATCTTGACTCCATATAGTGGTTATTTTGGCAAAATCCCAGGTATTTTGAGCAGTAGGATTATAAAAAAAAAAAATCGAGTACTTTTGTACTTTCACTCGAGTAAAATTTAAAAAGGAGTACTTT